TTTTAAGTGATGACCCTGATTATTGCTACTATATCTGCTTTATCACTATATGGATGTGTTCTTATTTATGTACTGCAGTGAGAGATGCCAACTGCATTTCGTTACACTGATGTGTGATGACAATAAAGATATTCTATTCTATGATCTTCCCTGACCTAATGTTTAATTATGTGTCCTACCCCTAAACAGTACCTTTCCGGTAGCTCTTCTTCTGTTCCCAGAACACCAGCCCCTCTCCCTCTCCCTCTCTGCCTCTAAAACTTCATCCTTTAGTTTTTCTCTTTCAGCTTTATCGATGACACAATGTAACAAGATATGTTCCACATGTTCTTTAGTCCTACACTGTCACTTTTCCCCATGACATACAGCGTATCATTCAATGCTGTGTGATCCAGTCTGAGTAGCTATCATGATGTCCTCCCTTCTGCTTCTTTCTTTATACATATTTATTGTAATTGTCTTTTGCACTTGATGATACTCTTTGCCTTTCTGGTCTTCCTCCCACCTTTTCTGCCAGACCTCCATCCTTTTCTTCTTAATGACTGCTTTTCCTTCTCCAAGTTGAACTGGTAATGTTATTTCCTTTTGTAGTGCACTTTTTGCTCATTTATCAGCACACTCGTTCCCTTTCACCCCATTCAACTCTCTGGTTGGTCTGGTGTCTTGCCTCTGGTGCATTCACTGAACACGGGAAATTACACATCTGCCGTCCTCTATAGTGTCATGATGAGGTTCAGGTAAAGCACGGTTAATGTATTATACGGTATTATATTATTGAGGGAGAATTGTCCGGGGCTGTTAAGGACTAAGGTTTATAATGAATACATTTGTATTGATTTTAAGATCTTTTTATACAATAATACGTATAGGGATAATTTGTATTCATGTGGACCGGAGGGAGAGGGGGACGAGCAGAAGCTTCACTTTCCTTTTTTATTTCAGTTCCAGCTTTGGTCCTGAAGAATCTGTTTCTCTGTTGTCCACGTTCATAAAGCATAAAGCATCAAAGCACGGAGTCTCTGGATGAGTTCACAGGAGCCCCTCGTTCTTATTGAACATCCATGTTGTAGTCCGCTGTATAGAAAACTGTAGTTTCCCCACAGCAGACGCACATTCATGACGTGCCCTGGCGCATCATAAAGACGTCGGATAGTGAAAGTGCAGTCGGATTCTCTAAGCACCGCAGTCTATTCTCCTAAATCCTTTTGAATTCTCCTATCCACTATCCCTTAACCCCGTGACGTTTCACTCAGAGGTCAAAGGATAGACGTTAGGAGCTGATTTTTTGACTATTCGACTGCAACCTATGGTTAACACACAAGCTGGACACTGGATTTACCGACACAGTACAAACCGGAAGTCAGCGAAATAAAGTGATGCAGAGCTTGCATACTTGTTTTATATATACAGTCTATGGTTGATCTCTATAAACACATGTCGGCATATGAATGCAGAAATAAACGTATCCTCGTCAGACTTCTGGGTTCCAGGATTGAGCTTTTACAGCATTGCCATTATATCCCCGTTTTATTTTGAAAGATGTTCTTTAACTTCCGCCACAACTGACTGCTTTTTTTCATTCTTCAATGCATAACGGAAAATTGAATGAAGTTGTTATCAAAAACCAAAATCGGACCGTTTTGTTTAAATTAGGTCTTCTCGTTATCCGGTTTTTGATTTAGACAACATAACGGGAAAACGGCTATGGTTTCCCATTTTTTCGTTCGTGATTTAAACCGAAAAAAGGCTGGCATTTGGTTCAAACGAAAAATCTAACAAAATATACACGGAGCCTTTTTTAATTAGGTTTTTATCGTTATCCCTTTTAAGATTCAGACAACATAAACGGGAAAATGGCTTTGGTTTCCCATTTTGAATCAAAAACGAAAACTCAAACTGACAAAAAGTACATGGACCGTCTTTGTTCGAGACAAATGTGTCTTATCGACAAACTCTCGCGAGACTTGACAACAAAGCCATTACGTTCGTCCAAATGTGTCGACATTTTAAATCTAACGTTGCCCAACGTTTACAAAAACGACCTTGCTTACTGCCTTTTGTACTCGTTTGTTATCTTCCCTGATATATTTTTATTATTTAAAATATAAATACATTAGACTGAGCTCACAGGAGACTATCTTTGGTACTATCATGGTCTATTGAATTACAGTGTCACGGCGCCATCTAGTGTTGAAATGAGGAACTGCATAGTAACACTTATGTAAACAATTTAAATATAAATGAACATAACATCGTGTTTTATCCTATGGTTTTATCACATTAACTCAAACTGTACAATTACGGGTACACATTTAAAAAGAGTAGAAAACACAGATTAGTGTATTATTTGATTTTGTGTTAACCCCATCACAAATATAAAAAATTGTTTACCCTCCCAATTCACAGAAAATACAAGGATACTCCAATCTCTTCTAAATTATGCGTTTCATTGTATATAATTTGGGATTTTGAAAAAAATATTTGCACAATAAGAGTGGTGCAGTGACGCGCCCTAAAACTCCGAAGTGAGTTAGCATTTTACCACTTCCGGTTCCCTCGACAAAAACGCAATGTAATTTCTCCATAAGATTTAGGAAAATAGCTTAAAATAAGGTTTGTGGTTGACACATATTTAAGAAACGGGTCACGTTTTGTTCTAAAACATTAAATACTTCAACAGTGACCTCACTGGTAAGTTTACGTGTCTGAAAAACGATGGTTGTTAACACGTGGCTGAAAGGACTGCAGAAGTTGTCGAGGCCGTTGTACGTCATTACACCGAACACGCACACACTCCCGCTAAATTTGTTGTACCTTTTACCATGTGTACTGCTTGAAAGCAAGTACCTGCCTCCTGCTAATATCAAACACTTCAACTTGTACCATTTTGAATCTGTATTTTTGAATAAAGAACAGTTTTATCTGAAGAGTCCTAGGCGACCGTAATTTCATCTGCTTGCAATCCGCGTAGCTAACGGCTAATATATTTACCCATACAACAATAAAAAAACTCACCGATTTCATGTGTGACTCACAATGCCTGAGGCTGTTTATTATCAAAATCAACTCAAAGTCAAAGTATTATGGTGCTTTGTCACCGTGAATGGAGCTTGCTGGGAAAACACAACTTTACTTAGTCCATATCAACACAATTATATTTATACCACGGTTTTTAAGCCAGTGGGAAGAATGCTTATTCGTATCCAGCGTCGCGGTTGCCTCTGTAGCCTCCTCCTCCACCTCTGGGATATCCGCCACCGCCTCCGCCTCCAGATCTGTAGCCGCCGCCGCCACCTCCGCCGCCGGAACCGTAGCTTGATCGATCGCCATAGCTTCTTTCTCCTCCGCCGCTGCCGCCGCCATAGCTTCTCTCACCGCCGCCATATCCACCACCTCCTCTCCCGCCACCTCCGCGCCCGAATCCACCTCTTGATCCTCCTCCTCCTCCACCACGGCCGCCGCCTTGTCCTGCCTCGTCGACGCGGATTGACCGGCCATCAAGGGTGGTTCCGTTCATGCCGTCCATTGCTTCTTTGGCATCCTCGGCATTGTCGTACTTCACGAAGCCGAAACCGCGGGAATTGCCGGTCTCTCTGTCTCTGATCACGTCCACCTTCTCGATGGTTCCAAACTTGGAGAAGGCCGCAGCCAGAGATTCTTCGTTGGTGTCGAAGCTGAGACCGCCGATGAAGAGTTTACCTTCGTCCGACATGATGTTTAAGTCGTTTTGGGCTTTTCAGTAGTAGGAGACTATTGAATCTGAAGAGCAGGCGCTGCAGGAGGAGGCACGGGTGCTGGTCGTTGAGACGGCTTAGGACTGAGAGACGCATGGAACAGACTCATGGAGTTTTAAGGCCGCACTGAGAGGCAATATCCGGTGACGGTACCACGTGGCTTCCGCCCAGTTTAAGCTCCGCCTCTTTCTGAGAAAATGCCGGATTTAAATTATAATGTGAAAGGGCACTGTTATATATGTTAAAGAGGTACGGGGATGTTTTCATAGGACTTGTGTTATTTCTCTGTTTTTTTATAAATGTAATGTTACTGTGAGGGCTTTAGAATGTGAACTATGAGTATTGTCTGTACCTCACTTGGCAACAGAAAGGTGGCGGTAATGCGCCATTAAGCTGGATGCAAACAGCCATACACTCGAGAAAGAAGAAGAAGAAGCCCTGTGAGAAGTGAACGTGAACACGTGTTTATAACAGACTGTTTCCAACAATACTCACAAAATGAGTCATATTTCACATGACACATCTTCCATACACTGTGGCATTAACATGGCATTTTTTAGACGGATAAATCAGGGGAAAAGGGGTCTTTGTTCGAGACAAATGTGTCTCATCGACAAATTCTCGCGAGATTTGATAACAAAGCCATTACGTTCTTCAAACTGTCGACATTTTAAATCTAACGTTGACCAACGTTTACAAAAACGCCCTTGCTTACTGCCTTTTGTATTGTACACATGTTTGTTATCTTCCTTGATATATTAATTTAGTTATTTGCAATATAAATACATTAGACTGAGCTCACAGGAGACAGGAAATGATCTTTGCTTGTCTTTGGTACTATCATGGTCTATTGAATTACATTGTCACGGGGGCATCTAGTGCTGAAATGAGGAACTGCATAGTAACACTTATATAAAGTATTTAAATATACATGAACATAACATCGTATTTTATCATGATATGCAGGGTCGTCTCTCCCTACAGGCCGATCATGCAGACTGCGTGGGGCCTCACCTATGGGCCTCACCTCGCGGAGGGGGCTTCAACTGAACCGAAAATGCGGCGCACCTATGCGCTTATGCTGCGCAATTAGTGTGGCGCGGCACGGTTTCGCCGCTGCGATGCTCCACTAGCAAAATATAACAGTATTTACATTGCAACGGAATGGAATAAGAAGGAATAAAATATGGAATACAAATTGGTAGTAATAATAAATAATAATAATTTAAAAAAACAGATATTGTTGTACATTGTGTGCATTAATGTAATGCATAGAGTCTGCATTGTGGCTGAGGTAAAGTGGTATTATTGTGGTATAATTATCACTGGTAATGAAGGTAGATGAGTAGTAGCACATTACATGTCACTTCTTTGGCTTTAAGTTAAATATATGTTGAACAGTAGAACCGCCCATGCTGTCACACGACCACAGTGTTGTTGTGAAGACGGAAGTGAGAGGAGGACTTCCCTCTGGACAATTCTTCATTTGGAAACAGTTAATGTAATACACCACCACCTGCTCAGTCATGACTACTGCGTACAAAAACAGGTAGGACACATCTAAAGGTGTGTTTTAGCATGATGTGCATGACATTCACAAACTGCTGCTACATTATTTATGGTATCCACTAGCATCCTAACTGCTAACTGACAATAACTTCACTGTTTAGCTAGCAGCAGCTCAGCTAATCAAACAAAAGACAAGTTTAGGGCAATACATGCAAAGATAATACATGTGTGAATCCTCATGTGATCTAAATGTAATGTCACGATACAAAGATAACGGTAACAAACACTGCAACTTCATCGTTTCATGTAGCTAGATAGGCTAGCTCCCTGTTAGCACATCAGCTGACACACCGTACTTCATTAAGGCTAACTGTTAGCTAGCATATCCAGCTAGCTCCATTATCTGACTAGGTGGAAAACAGACAGAAGTGTAGAAGTACTCATATATATCTTGTACTTGAGTAAAAGTAGAAGTACTCGGATCTTGTACTTGGTAAAAGTAGAAGTTCTCTGATTGTGTACTTGAGTAAAAGTAGAAGTACCAGAGTGTAGGAATACTCTGTTACAGTAAAAGTACTGCATTCAAAATGTTCCTCAAGTGAAAGTAGAAAAGTATTCTCATCAAAATATACTTAAAGTAGCGACAGTAAAAGTAGTCGTTGTGCAGATTGGTCCATTTCAGAATAATATATATATGATGTGTTATAATGATTGATCATTAAAGTGTTCTCAAAGCTGTATATAATAATGTAATAAATAAATGTCTGTTAATGTATCGTACGTTGACATTGTAGTACTCAGCGTACATCAGATATTAAACTGGTTCTCACCTCCTGTCTCATTTCAGAATACAGGAATTCAAAGTAGCGTTGAGTGAAGAGAACATCAATCTGAAGACGCTGAGGGAGCTGTGCTTCAGCGGTAACTTTAACATCTTAATGTTTATTTATCTGAGTATTTCATTGTTCTGTATTTGAACATCCTTTTTTCTATTCAACCTAGGAATCCCGTTTGAAGGAGGCATACGAGCCCTTTGTTGGAAAGTAAGTAAACCGTTGTGCACCACATGGAAGAACTTCAGTGTTCTTATGATAAACCTCTCATTGTTTTAGCGACTCTGGATTTGGGTACTAGCACCGCCATGACACTACACATTGTGCACTATTTAATTGAAAAGGTTGTAATGAAATTGACTGAAAGCATGTTCCTTAAACTAATAATGATATTCTGAGTGTGACTGTTTTGCTCTTCTTTCAGATCCTTCTCAACTATCTACCTCTCGATCAGACATTATGGGAGTCTTTCCTCAAAAAGCAGAGGCAAGTTGTGTGTGTGTGTGTGTGGTGTGGTGTGTGTGTGTGTGTGTGTGGTGTGTGTGTGTGTGTGTGTGTGTGTGTGTGGTGTGTGTGTGGTGTGTGTGTGTGTGTGTGTGTGTGTGTGTGTGTGTGTGTGTGTGTGTGTGTGTGTGTGGTGTGTGTGTGTGTGTGTGTGTGTGTGTGTGTGTGTGTGTGTGTGTGTGTGTTGTGTGTGTGTGTGTGTGTGTGTGTGTGTGTTGTGTGTTGTGTGTGTGTGTGTGTGTGTGTGTGTGTGTGTGTGTGTGTGTGTTGTGTGTGTGTGTGTGTGTGTGTGTGTGTGTGTGTGTGTGTGTTGTGTGTGTGTGTGTGTGTGTGTGTGTGTGTGTGTGTGTGTGTGTGTGTGTGTGTGTGTGTGTGTGTGTGTGTGTGGATCAGGAGGTTTTAGACCCTAAATAACTCTCTTAACGGTCATTTTAACCACTTTCTGCCATGTTGTGCTGTGTCTCTCGTAGGGAGGTGTACACCCAGTTCCTAAGAGAGATGATCATCCAGCCTGGCATCGCCAAAGCCAACATGGGTCTTTCCAGAGAAGATGTGACGATGGAGGACCATGTGAGTCCACTCTGCCTACTTGGCGTTTTTCCTTTTTTATCACTGCAGTGTTAAACTGAAGTGAGGCCTGATTCAATAAAGCCATGCTGTGTGGAGTGCACTTTGGTCACAAGTAAGCAAAACAAACAGGCAATGCATGCAGGAGAATGTTAATAGATTAGCTTTAAAGAGGCAGTGTGGCCTGACGTATAAAGATTAACTCGTACTTTACGTGTATTAGTGAATTTCATTTTGACATCTGCCTATGTCCACTAGGAACTAAACATGGTGTCTGCACAAGACAGTGTGAAGGTGTGTGTATGAAGACTCACACTGTCGTAGAACCAAACCGCACAAGACTCTACTGTCTGTGTTGGCTTTAGCTTTGGAGTTTACTGTAAAGGAAGTGATTATTATTTATGTGTATCGTCTGTCTAGCGGCATGTCTCTGCTAACAGATCCCAGAGTCTGAGCAGATTTTTGCCTAAGTATTGTTTAGAAGTTCACTCCCAGACTCTCACACACACACACACACACACACACACACACACACACACACACACACACACACACACACACACATCAATCAGGCCAAATCAGAAAAATACACACATAGATCTCACACATATCTGTATAACTTACAGAAGCTATGTGATGTATTCCCACCCTTTTACTTTTGAAACACTTTATTGAATTTTAAATGAAGTGAATTGTCATTATTGGCCACTCGAGTAGCCCGTAATGACAGAGGGAAAAGCTTGTTTTTAGATCTGTTTATTAAAGAACTAAATCACCTTTCTATTGCTTACAGTTCCATGTCTACCACAGCTTGAAATGTCCATTCACATGCAATCATTGGTTAGATTTTGGCACCATTGCTGCATTCAGTCTGAAGAAAAGGGAAAGAATATTGACACATTTCAGTCTCACACTGACAATCAAATGATGAGGAACCGCTATAAATAAATAGTTATATAAACTGCCTTTTGCTCACATGTGTGTCTGTGCTTTGTTTTTGTTTTTTCAGCCGCTAAATCCGAACCCAGACAGCAGGTGGAACAACTACTTCAAAGACAATGAAATTCTGCTCCAAATTGACAAGGATGTGAGGTACGGCTTAAAAAAAAAAGGTTGTTGAAGATCTGTTAAGATAGTTGATATGTTGTGACGTCATTGTCATTAGTACAGTAACAGGTAGAGTATGCACTTGCTCTATGTCTATTGTCCATCCATCCATCTTCTCCCGCTTATCCGTGGTCGGGTCTCGGGGGTATCAGTTCCAGCAGAGAGACCAAACGTTCCTTTCCCCTCATCAACCAGCTCTGACTGGGGGATCCCAAGGTGCTCCCAGGCCAGCGAAGAGATATAATCCCTCCACCTGGTCCTAGGTCTACCCCTTGGTCTCTTCCCAGCTGGACGTGCCTGGAACACCTCCCTAGGGAGGCGCCCAGGTGGCATCCTTACTAGGTGCCCGAACCACCTCAACTGGCTCCTTTCGACGCGAAGGAGGAGCGGCTCAACTCCGAGTCCCTCCCTGATGACTGAATCTCTCACCTTATCCCTAAGGGAGACGCCAGCCACCCTGCGGAGAAAACCCATCTCGACCGCTTGTATCTGCGATCTCATTCTTTCGGTCATGACCCATCCTTCATGACCATAGGTGAGGGTAGGAACCAAAATGGCCCGGTAGACAGAGAGCTTTGCCTTCTGGCTCAGCTCTCTTTTCGTCACAACGGTGCGGTAAAGCGACTGCAGTACCGCTCCCGCTGCTCCGATTCTCCGGCCCATCTCACGCTCCATTGTTCCCTCACTCGAGAACAAGACCCCGAGATACTTGAACTCCTTCACTTGGGGTATTCTATTGTATCTGTTTTATTGTGTTGCACTGTGGGAGGAGCCTGTGACCTCAGATATTCATTGACATATCTACACTGTAGCTATGAACACAATAAAAAGCCTTGAATCTTGAAATCTTGAGAAGTAGATGAGAGCTGACGGGTGATTGTTTTCAGGCGGCTGTACCCAGACATGGCGTTCTTCCAGCGCCCCACTCAGTACCCCTGCCAGCTGATCCTGGACCCTCAGAACGATTACGAGACGCTCCGGAGACGAGTGGAACAAACCACGCTGAAATCACAGACCGTCAACCGAAACCGCAGTGGAGTCACCAACGTAAGTGTGTGTGTGTGTGTGTGTGTGTGTGTGTGTGTGTGTGTGTGTGTGTCAAATGTAAAATGTAAAATGAACAGAGTAGGGAAATGATTTCATTCACAGCAGCGAGGTGTTCTGGCATTAACTTCTATAAAGGTGGAAAAAGCTATATAAATAAAATCTAAAAACAGCAGCAAGTGTATGTATACATATCTACAGTAGAAAGGACATTAACCACAAAGTGAAACCATGAATTCAAAGTCTTCAGCTTTAATCTAAATGTTCAAACTATTGCCGGTTAAATATATATTAGATCACAGATTCTATGATCTATTTTACTTTTACTGCCACAAACCATACAGCAACATTTGTGTTGTTGTGAGGAACGGCAGCACCTGTATCTGTCCGAGTAGCTTCACATTTCCTTTTCCTATAAAGGTAGGGTAGGTAATTCACTTCAGAAACACTTGTTATATTCCATGGAATGCTCTTAACATCCCGATAGCAATGAATATCTTAAATACTTTGACAATAAATACATAAAAACATGTCATCAGTGGAAGCCGTGGTGCTGTAAAAAGCACGACCAATCGCCTGAGCCGGCTAAAGTAAGTGGATGGCCTACCTGCCTGTCAGCCTTCCATCTGTGCACAAACTTACCTCGTGCCCTCATTGGTCATGTGCGTGTTCATGTGTGTTGGAGGAGGAACTCTGAAGGAAGAGGCAGATTTTTTCCAGCTGCGTATTTTCAAATTCTAGCGTACTCGAGCTGGTCATGTCATGTTGCCGTTGTTCAGCATGGAAACATTCATTAGCAAACAATGACATTATTGTTCTATTAATATAAAGGGAGGTCAGGTACTCTTTAAAGCAGCTGCTAGTTATGGGTACTTTTTACTGAAGTACATTTCAAAGCCTCTTTACTTTGACTTGAGTAAAGAAGTTTAGTCAGTACTTCTACTTTCACCAGAGTATTTTTAAACACGAGTATCTGTACTTCTACTTGAGGAAAGGATGTGTGTACTCCACTCAGCCCTCTCTGTAACCTCTCTGTGTTCCTCAGGTCAGCTCTCCAGGGAAGTCCTTGAACCTTTACCCCTCTAACGAGTACGAGGTGCTGCCCAGCGGGAGTGAGGCTCACTGGGAGGTGGTGGAGAGAATCCTCTTCATTTACGCCAAACTCAACCCGGGCATCGCCTACGTGCAAGGCATGAATGAGGTCGTTGGGCCGATCTACTACACCTTCGCCACGGACCCCAACAGCCAGTGGAAAGGTCGGTGACATCTCATCATTCAATTCAAATTCAAATGTTTTATCATCATATGCACATAAGCTTCAGTGTAGAAATGGCAATGAAATCCTTCTGACCGGAGCTCCTCCAACAATGCAACATGTATGATAAAATACAAAATAGTGCAACAAGTCTATATACATGTAAATAGAATATGATATGTACGAGAACAGAATATGAAATTAGATAATGTACATTAAGACAAAATTAAATACGGTTTATTACGGTGATAACTATTTAGATAAATAAGTAGATTGCCCCGGTATTGATGTTAACCGGGAGATATAATACACTTGTGTTGCGTGGTAGAAGCTAGGTAAGAGATACAATTATATATTGCACAGAGTTAAATACAGATTATTGTTACAGTATTAATATTGTCATACTAAGAAGGCAGGCAGTAATAATAATCATTTTAACTCGGTACATATTGCACAGCAGTGGTGTCGCAGTGTTTGTTTGTTACATTTCTTTCTTTATTTGGGGTCACATTATATTAAAAGTACAGTTTTGCAAATCATATATTTTTAGAGACCCGAAAATGACAAATTGAATACCGAATAAAAATAGTAAAATAAAACGAAAAAGTACACAGGTTTTTTTTTAAATGACAAATATCTACACATGTACACGTATCTACTTAAACACACACACATATGCACATACACACACATATATATGCACATACATACACATATACATACATGTATATATACAAACATGTACGTACACATACATACATATACACATACACCTATATATGCATACATACCCACATACATCAGCATACATACATATACATATATATATACATATACATTCATTCGGTGTATAGAAACACAGTCGATGTGTTACATTTCTGACGTGTAGAAAGTGATTTGTGAGTCCTGTACTCTATATTTCTCAGAGCACGCTGAAGCAGATACGTTCTTCTGTTTCACCAACCTGATGTCAGAGAATAGAGATAACTTCATCAAGAGCCTGGACGACTCTCAGTGCGGCATCACGTACAAGATGGAGAGCGTGTACTCCATGCTGCGAGAGAGAGACCTGGAGCTCTACCTCAAGCTGGTAAACATTCTTACTTCCTGCTCCTGAACATGGGAACGTTCTCTCTGTGGGTTCCCTCAGAGGTGGGAAGTAGTGGAGTACAAATACTTCGTTACTTAAGTACATGTTTCTGGTATCAGTACTTTACTCCACTACTTATTTTTCTGACGACTTTTTACTTTGACTTCTTACATGTTGAACTCAAATACCTGTACTTTCTACTTCTTACATGTTGAACTCAAATACCTGTACTTTCTACTTCTTACATGTTGAACTCAAATACCTGTACTTTCTACTTCTTACATGTTGAACTCAAATACCTGTACTTTCTACTTCTTACATGTTGAACTCAAATACCTGTACTTTCTGCTTCTCACATGTTGAACTCAAATACCTGTACTTTCTACTTCTCACATGTTGAACTCAAATACCTGTACTTCCTACTTCTCACATGTTGAACTCAAATACCTGTACTTTCTACTTCTTACATGTTGAACTCAAATACCTGTACTTTCTACTTCTTACATGTTGAACTCAAATACTTGTACTTTCTACTTCTCTCATTTTCCAAACAGCTGGTTCCTTTAGTCTGAATGTGTGTTTGGTGCGTGATCATTATTCTTTAGAGTCATTGCGTGCCTATTGATTTGAACACGATCCGTGTATCCATCATTTCCTGGTCTTCTCTAAAGAAGAGGGACCAATGGAAACGTTGTCATGTTGCCGTTGTTCAGCATGGAAACATTCATTAGCTAACAATGACATTATTGTTCTATTAATATAAAGGGAGGTCAGGTACTCTTTAAAACAGCTGCTAGTTATGGGTACTTTTTACTGAAGTACACTTCAAAGCCTCTTTACTTTGACTTGAGTAAAGAAGTTTAGTCAGTACTTCTACTTTCACCAGAGTACTTTTAAACACGAGTATCTGTACTTTTACTTGAGTAAAAGACGTGTGTACTTTTGCCCTCTCTGCCCCCCCCAGGAGGAGCAAAACATCAAACCTCAGTACTTCACTTTCCGCTGGTTGACCTTGCTGCTGTCTCAGGAGTTCCTCCTGCCCGACGTCATCCGGATCTGGGACACGTTGTTCTCCGACCAGGACAGATTCCACCTCCTCATCCTGGTCTGCTGCGCCATGTTAATGTGAGCCTCCTCTCCATGCTCTCTGCACCTATTTCAATTTGTAAACACGAGTATCTGTACTTCTACTTGAGTAAAGGATGTGTGTCCTTTTGCCATCTCTGCCGCCACAGACTCATCAGAGATAACTTACTGGCTGGAGACTTCACGGTGAACATGAGACTCCTGCAGGTGAGGCACCGTGAAGCGTAAAACCCCCAAAGCTTCATAATCAGACACAATGTTTCAGAACTGGATTCACTCTTGATTTTCACTGATGTTTCCCCAGGATTACCCCATCTCAGACGTCAACACCATCCTGATTAAGGCCAAAGATCTGCGGGATACTTCCTAACCAGTTTTCTAACGTGGAAGGTGAGAGTTCGAACATTACGAATCATTGTCGTGTCAAACGTGTTGTTGGAGGACTTATGATGGGTTCGTACAGACGGGAAACCCAGCATTCGTTTTTTTTTTTACCTTGATGTCTTATGATTGGTCAGTGGGGACTGCTGTGAAAACATTTAAGGGACGAGCTGAATTTTTTTCTGAAGTGAGGAGGAGATGCCACCTGCTTCCTGATGCATTATGGGAAGAAAAAAAGCAGGTGTTCCTCCTCCAATCACAGCCATGGACCCTCTTCAGATCACGATGCTTTTACTGAACTGAATCTGAGGGACAGGAGCTCCGTTACACTACAGATCCAGTTTGAAAACCGAATGTTGAACACCTCATCCAGGAGTTCCCCACGCAGAAGTTTCACCGAGCAAAAGTGCATGTTTGTTCTTTGAGAGATGTGTTTTTTATTTCGTTTTTATTGTAAGCAACTTCTCTGTGTAATTATGTGAAAACAGGAGACGGTGTTTCTGTGTTCATTTCTTTCAGGGTAAAATAAATCTGAAGTGATGGGCCTGGCCTGGTAAATACTTCATAGTAATCTCCTTAAAACCCATTATTCCTTCAGTGTTATGTCTAAACACAATGCCTTTGTTCCATTGGGAATGTAATGTGATGCATTTCCTTGTAAAATCACATTATTTAGAGAGAAGGGCAAGAATCTGTGGCGCTGCTTCACACCGAACATGATTTACAAACCTGGCTTTACAAGGATTAGTATTGTAATAAAGCATTACAACCATTTATTCTATATATTGAACACAGTGCAATACTGATACCACAGTTATACTTGTTATGTCACTTGAGAAACATAACCATGTTTTCCTATAATAATTACCGAAGGAGTCGATGTGTTAAGAGACCTCAAAGAAGATGTGTGCCTCAAAGAAGTGTTGAATCAACAAAACACTCCGATTTAAATCTGAAGAGAGAAGATTAGCATTCTGACCTCAATGCCAGCTGCCCATGAGTAACGGCTTTAACCCCCTGTGGTGAGGAGTTATCCGGTCAGCAACACAAAAGAGATGGAAAACCCAATATCAAACTTTAATTTAGTGTAGAAGGGAAAGACATATTTGGTGGCTAACAAATACCATAAAATGTGGTCGGTTGCATAAAACACTTCACACTTGCACGTGAGAAGACTAAAGCTACATTATTCTATTTTCCCTTTGCAATAATAAACATTATTTTCTAATAATTGTAAAGCCTGTGTGCATTATTAAAGGATAAACACCTGAAAACACCACATGCTTGCATTGTGTCAATACAACTAGCATAAGTATGTCATGAGCCTGTGGATTAAAGGCTAATTTATGTCCAGTTAACCCATTACTTTACAAAACACACATTTATCAAATCGTTATGGTAGCTGCCGGTGGCGGGCTGCCCATCGGGACGTTCGGGACGAATCCCGATGGGCCGGTACTGAAGTGAAGTCGGACGATGTGGGCCGGTCGGATAAGTCACTAGCACCCCCCCGTTGACAATTTACTAGCGGTATTAACTTGCGGTACCGAGGTGGGCCGGTCGGATACGTCACTAGCACCCCCTCCCCCCGTTCACAATTTCCTAGCGGTACCGAAGTGGACCGGTCGAGAGTCCCGGGCTGATGTTTAGTCCCAGTCCGCCCCAGCTAACAGTTAGCATTACATCAGCTACAAGCAGCTAGCATAGCATGTGACTGCAGACTGGAGAATATCTTCTGAGAACAGAGAAGATGTTAACCCCGTCTTGACTTCATGATTCATATGAACCTTTCTTAACAAGTTGCTTTGTTAACATGGAGTTTATATCTTAGCTAGCACAATGCAGTCTGATCGTGTTCAGTGTGAACAGAAACACAGCGTGGTGTTTTAAATCTCTTTTATAGTTCCATCTTGTGTTCTGCGCATACTATCTGATCATGGATTGAGTATATCAAGCTTAACTTTTGAATGTAAATGTGTATCTGCAAACATATTGTAAAATATCCTGCCTTGTCACCGTGATGAAGGTGACTCAATGAAGCATTTAATTCATACTGAAGACGTACGTTGTGATGAAATGCTTACAAATATTAACATGAATAAGGGGGAAATGGAAATGCTTGCTCAATCACTCATTTCATTTTGTACATAGGCCTACTGCATTTTTGTATATGTGCATGGCGAAAGTGGAAACGGATATAATTTCCAGAGCGACTCAAGTATTTCAATCAGGAGACACTTCATGTTGTTTAAAGAACATTATTGACACGTCATATAATAAATGTTAAATCTTTGGTGATTAGACCCCTATCCTGAAATCGTATATCTACAGGGGGAAATGCAGCCGTGAGCATATAGGGAACCCCCCCCCCCCCCCCGGGGTCTAGACACTGGTGATGATGATGAAGAGCTGGATTTGATGAGGAGATGGGATGAAGAGGGGGTGTGATGAGGTCTTTGGATTGGCTCTCCTGGCACTGGATGTGATGTGATGAGAGGAGGTGGATGGGGAGGAGGCGGGCTGACTGCAGGAGAGAGGAGAACCATTTTAGAGTTTGGCTGCAGCACGCTGATTGGCTGCTGGAGAATGAGGTGGAATGTAATAGGTTAAAGCAGGGGGGTCAAACTCAAATACACAGTGGGCCAAAATAAAAAAATGGGTACTAGTGGAGGGCCGGACTGGTTCAATGTTTATTGCAGAACTTATTGAAATGAACTTATTGCACATATTAAACCTGGAACTAACAAAGCTTAAATGATTGCCTATAAAAACAACACTAAATAATCAGTTGCATTCATTTCTTATGGCTCTATCTGCAGCTTCTCCAGAGTCATTTCTTATGAGTACATTTCTCCACAGGCCAACAACAGCTTCAACAAAACTATTCCCTCAAAGAGAAAACCAAACATGCCCTGTTGTCCTGAGAGAAAGTGCAGAAGGAAGCATCCATTGAACTCAGTGTGCTGCTCTGTGATGCTAGCTCAGATACTTGGCATCTCATCTTGGGTGCAAGGTCATCAATGTTTGGGCTCAGGCTCTGAGCGGAGGAGACCCTCAGGATGGAGTGAAGGTGTGCGTGCAATATACCGGCGGGCCAGATCTAATAGGAATTAGAAATTATCCTGCGGGCCGAAATTAAATCCATCACGGGCCTGATTTGACACGTGGGTTAAAGAGACGCCCGTGATGAGCTGATTATATGCAGCTGTGGAGTGAATGTATATATAGGCCTACCCAGTCCTCCTGAAAGAACTTGAGCTGAGCTTCATTTCTGTAAAGTACCATTTTAATAATCGATATAAGCACTCCGTAGACGGGACATTACAATCTCTTCTTTGTTTCTCCTCGACCGAAGATCATATGTTACTATTAAACACGCTATTACATGTTTTTGTAATGTGGTTGAGGGTTGTGTTTGTGAGGCTCGGTTTAATTTCAACAATATGGAACAATACAGCACTTTCACATGGTGGTAATAAGCCATAAGTGCTATTTCATTATAACTGAAAAGAGTATTTGATATCATTGTCAGGTTTTAATTTGGATAAAACACATAAAAGTAGTCGCTCAGTCAGTAGGGGCTTGCAGTGTGAGCCGTAGGGTCGCCGGTTCAAGTCCCCGACCAGACCTAAAAGAGGGTTTCATCCCTCCCATTCTAGAAGATTCTAGAAAAGCTACATATTAATATCTCTTATATGAACTCTAGCTCTAAAGCCACAGTGACACAGACATCATGTCAGTAAGAGAGGAGTGCAAATTTGAATATGATTATAAAAAAGTTATTTTGCAGCGATTGCTACTTGACATTTCTGCAGGACTTTCACATGTCTGTGTAAAGATGAATCTGGAGATCTACTCTACATCCAGCAACTTAGAAATATCCAGAATATTCCCTTCAGTTAGAAGAAGAGCAATCTTTCTAACACCGAAAGACATTTAGCATTTGCATTCATCTTTGGGGGGGGGGTATTTTCAAGAGACCATTACTAATTGATGGCAATTAATAGGATGTATTTATTTGTTTATTTTTTGTTTGTCTGGTGTGTGTGTATCCTTTGTCTTATGTCAGTTATTTGCATGTTTCCAATTTTGTAAGCACATTTTATAACGTATGTATTTGTATACAGTGATGAGACGTGTATATATGTTCTTACATGTTTGCAGATGTGCATTAAAATGAATGATGGTATAAATCTGTCTGTGAAGTGGTGAGACTCTTTGGAATCAATCATGCTTCTAATGTTTGGAAACTTTGAACAGATATTTTCATATGATTAATAACAGAGGTGGAAGAAGTGCTCAGATCTAGTACTTGAGTAAAAGAAGAAGTGCTCAGATCTAGTACTTGAGTAAAAGTAGAAGTACTCAGGTCTTGAGTAAAAGTAGAAGTACTCAGATCTGGTACTTGAGTAAAAGTAGAAGTACTCAGATCTTGTACTTGAGTAAAAGTAGAAGTACTCAGACCTTGTACTTGAGTAAAAGTAGAAGTACTCAGATCTTGTACTTGAGTAAAAGTAGAAGTACTCAGATCTTGTACTTGAGTAAAAGTAGAAGTACTCAGATCTTGTACTTGAGTAAAAGTAGAAGTACTCAGATCTTGTACTTGAGTAAAAGTAGAAGTACTCAGATCTTGTACTTGAGTAAAAGTAGAAGTACTCAGATCTTGTACTTGAGTAAAAGTAGAAGTACCAGAGTGTAGGAATACTCAGTTACAGTAAAAGTCCTGCATTCAAAATGTTCCTCAAGTGAAAGTAGAAAAGTATTCTCATCAAAATATAGTGAAAGTAGCGACAGTGAAAGTAGTCGTTGTGCAGATTGGTCCATTTCAGAATAATATATATATATGTTTTATAATGATTGATCATGAAAGTGTTCTCAAAGCTGGTAAAGGTGCAGCTAGTTTGAATGATTTTGTATACTGCAGGGTAGCTGGTGGATTTACTCCAGGTGGAACTAAAGTCTGATTCAACACTTGATTATATTTCACATCATTTATCCACATCTGTGAAGTAACTAAAGGGATTAAATACATGCAGTGCAGTAGAAGTACACCATGTAACTCTGAACTGTAGTGGAGTAGAAGTACACCATGTAACTCTGAACTGTAGTGGAGTAGAAGTACACAGTAGCATACAATGTACTGTCTGTACAAGTACCTCACAAGTGTACTTAAATACAGTATGTTGAGTAAATATACTTAGTTACTTCCCTTCTCTGCTTACACGTTTTGTTCAGCAGGAGAATCTCCACATATTAACACCACTTTGATGTTTTTTGAAAAGTAAATCCAATCGGCAGAAGTAAAAAAGCTAACGTTAGGCTACAGAGGTCACATGGCTGTCGCTAAGCTAAAGGCAGCTAATGTTTGCCATGAGTTAGTTAGCAACTACCTTAAAGTCTCCTGATATTCAACAGTTCATCAACATCTCTTAAGCTTGTATTTATCGTGGAAATGTATAATTGAAGTGACTTGTATGTAAACCAGTTTCGTCCTCGGCTCACAGGCTGAATGTGAGGCTTCTTCACATCTTTGATTCACACCGACTGACGGGTGTCGCTTCGACCATTGTTAGGGTAGGAATTATCATATGGATGTTAGCGTTGTAATTTCCATGCAATCACTTCCACGTCTGGCCACCATTTCAATAGCCTGTAATGTAAATGTGGGTTTGCCTTAATCAATGTATTTAAACAAGGACCATGCATACAAATACTTTAATCTCAGAAAAGAGGAGAGGGGATTAAATGCCAGATTTGAGCAAATGGCTGATTTACATCTGCAGTCTTTATGCAGGTGAATAACAATCAACAGACACTAAAGACATAATCTCACACACACAGATACAGGGAAACATTCCTGCCTAAACTGCAATAAATTGGCAGAGAAATAGCTTTTCTTCTTTTAAGGTTATTTATATAGTTAAATTAAAATGTGGTGTAAATCCCTGTCTTTAGCATCCTTTTTTAATGCTAAATTGTTTCCTAAAAATACATAGTTTAAATTCCTTGTATCTGTAAACGTACCTGGCAATAAACTGGATTCTGATTGTTCATTTCTTACCAGAAGGTGATTCATTAGGGAATTTTCCACCACAGTATTAACCACATTTTCTCAAATGCGAACTCATTCCCAGGTTTAGGACTCATTTTGACATATTAACAGCAAACTCATTGTATTTTCACTCACCGGTACATTTACTCTGATTAATGAAAACATGTGTTTTATTCTTCAGCCCTCCATGTTACCAGTACTGAGAGACCACTTAGAACAGGGGGGTCAAACTCAAACACACAGTGGGCCAAAATAAAAAAATGGGTACTAGTGGAGGGCCGGACTGGTTCAATGTTCATTGCAGAACTTATTGAAATGAACTTATTGCACATATTAAACCTGGAACTAACAAAGCTTAAATGATTGCCTATAAAAACAACATTAAATAATCAGTTGCATTCATTTCTTATGGCTCTATATCGGCAGCTTCTCCAGAGTCATTTCTTATGAGTACATTTCTCCACAGGCCAACAACAGCTTCAACAAAACTATTCCCTCAAAGAGAAAACCAAACATGCCCTGTTGTCCTGAGAGAGAAAGTGCAGAAGGAAGCATCCATTGAACTCAGTGCTGCTCTGTGATGCTAGCTCAGATACTTGGCATCTCATCTTGGGTGCAAGGTCATCAATGTTTGGGCTCAGGCTCTGAGCGGAGGAGACCCTCAGGATGGAGTGAAGGTGTGCGTGCAATATACCGGCGGGCCAGATCTAATAGGAATTAGAAATTATCCTGCGGGCCGAAATTAAATCCACCACGGGCCTGATTTGGGCCCCGGGCCTCGAGTTTGACACATGTGACTTAGAAGCACACGTGTAAATATTAACAATACTAATGGATGCATTTTAATACCAGTTATTGTTTACTCTTAAATTACTTATTAAAGAATAAACGATACTTCAGGATCAAGACAGTTTTGTTTTACTTTAAAGGTAAAGGGTTTAATACAAATATTGTTAGTTTCTTTATACAATTGGGAAAATGTCACATTCACCAGAAGAAAAGGAGTCTCTAAACCACATTTTAACTTACAACAATATGGCACCACTATTACAAAATAGTACAAATAAGAGGGCAATCGAAACCAAATGTGTATTTGATAACGTTATATTTATATTACATTTTATTTTGTTGACGCTTTTATCCAAAGCGACAACAAAATAAAACCATAAAGATTCAAACTTTTACAACAAGGAAAGTGCAGATATTTTCACTTCAAGCAAGTCATACCATTGCTAGTGCTGGGAAATTAGTTACAAGACCTTTTAGGTTTTATTGTGTATCTAATCAATATTTTACTTGACCTTTTGTTTTATCACTTTTTTCTTTATGTTGTATTATGTTATATGTTTTCCTGTGTACCCCTTATGTCAATATTGTGTGTGTTTACAGTGTTTGATGTACATATATATATTTTCTTTAATAAAGGAAATTCAAAAACTGGGCCAACGGATCTGACCCAGTCACGTGGTATCGACGGACTACGTCACAACGTGTCCGTTAGCGCGTTCTCGTGCAGGATCGGCCACACACAGTTGTGTTTGAAACTAACTAGAGGAGAGTTATTATTATTAAACCCTCCGACAGATAGTTTGCTTCGGTCCTAGATCAACCAGCTGCTCCACCTGACCAGAGGCCTGTATGCGGCTCAACATACCCGGGATATCTGCCTGTTATCCGGCCAAAACAACCCTAACGGTCCGTGGTCCCGTTATACGCCTCGGTGAGTCAACAGGGTCCAGTTCAGACTGCCCTGTGAGCGCGTTCACGTGAAAGGGGCGGAGTTAGCAGCATTTGACCAATCAGGGACAAGTAGGTTTACATCAACACAGGTAAAGAAGGTAACAAGTAAGAAAAACAACACAAAAATCAAATAAAAACTATTATATGTTAATATACAGATTTTATTTTACATAAAATCTTGATATACTCAAAAACTACGTGCAGTATATTGCAAAGTACTCAGAATAATAGAAAATGTGCAGTAATGTTAAAGTGGATGAGAGGAAGCTTTTGTACGAGTGCAAAACATTTGGAGGGTTTTGCAGAACAGGCATTACTTAAATGAAATAAATAAAAATGAGATAATGTTTGCATTAGTGTAAGGCACACACGCCTTGTTAAAGAGATCAGCGTCACAATGAAGTGTAACATGGACAAATATGAAGTTACCTTTAAACATCCTTGAGTTAAACACATTATTCAGATTCAGAATACTTTATTGTCCATTAAATCTACATATAATGGGAATGTGGCTTTGGCACTGGCAGATAGGTTAAAATAACACTCACAGCACGACATACAACTCATACACACAAAAGAGGGAAGTGGCATCATAAAGTGAAACAGTGGCAGTCTTAATAAACGAGTGGTTTGTTCTTCATGAGTCATACATACATTCTCCTCATTTCAGTCATCATTTGTGCTCATTTAATTAACTCTGTTTGCAAAATGAGTGATACAAACCATGGACGTGTAAATCATTGATAGTGAATCATACGTAAGCTTCATTTATAATTAGTAGCTTGAGAGGTGGTTCCAAAGTTCACGTTTTATCGCCTTTGGGACCGTCGACAGCTTGTGAAAAGGTTGATCAGCCTCAGTGTGTGAAGTGTAGACGGCCATCAAGTGTTTGTATTTGTACTTCAGAGTGGTGAGTAGTGCATGCTTTGTGTGAAGTGTTTTAATACAATCTTTTCATGATTCATTGACTAAAAGGAGATTTTAAGTGTTCAATGTTGGTTTTAGGTTAAAGGTCCATACTGTTTTTTATCAATATACTATAGGTCTCAGATATAGACAGAACCTGTCTCTGATTGGCTGAAACACCAAACAGATCATTGCAGCGTCCCATAACCAGAGATGGGGTCGTTACTAAAAAAAAGTAATATATTACATATTACATTTAAAAAAAAAGTAATATATTACACTACTTCGTTACTCTCTACATAAAGTAACTCGTTACTTTGCTCGTTACTTTACTCGCAGGGCCGGCCCGCCCCTACAGGCAGACCACGCAGACTGCGGCGCACCTACAGTGTAAGCGCGCCACAGTTTTGCCTCTGCGAGACTCCACTTGCCCCCGCAATTACTATTGCATCAAGGAAGACATAACACAAGTCTTTCTTTATGCTCTAAAATAGGCTACCAGCCACACAACAAGCTAACAGTCTGTGAAACGTCAAGACACTAATTAATGAAACCAGTTCAAGACGCATTATTCTTATCATTCTTTATGAGCGCATAACGGTAAGGTATCTAATTACTTATTTATTTAGTATTCCATAACAGAGATGGTGAAACTAAAGTGGTAGAGACATGGCAGAGTTCCTACAATGAAGCGGGACATTGAACTGTTCACCCGTGAGAGGGCGATCAAGAGAAGAGAGCGAGCGACGCGTTGAGGGAGTTCACAGATGAGAAGACTCAGCCATGTTTATGCAGCACTGCACGTGGAGATGTGGTCTCGCACATCCCGCAGATTACATAGGCCTACATGTATATAAACCTGCGGCGGAAACCCCTCTTGTCTGTCAGTGAGTGTGATTATTTTATAAAAGTAACGAAGTAACGCGCATCGGGGCAATGTTAGTAACTGTAGTGTGATTGTTGAATTATAAAAGTAACGCGTTACACTACTCCGTTACCGACATACATCATATTATTACAGTAATGCGTTACTTTGTGCCGCGTTACACCGAACTCTGTCCATAACCCCCTCTGTTTCAGCCCTGTCGGATTGCATTTTTCTAGAACTTGTTGACAATATTAATGTAACAAGATGAGCTGTGGTGGTCTGTTAGGGCATGATTGCTTTGTACTGTTGGGACTCGGGTTTGAGTCCAGCATGAACTTTTTTGTTATTTTCATGTCGATGCACATTGAATATGTTGTTTGAATAGAGGATTCGTAATACTGTTTGCCGACACCAACATTCACGACCAAGCAGCATTTTAAAGTCTAAATATCCCCAATGACATTTCTGCTGCTATCTTTGCAAAACGAGGTAACAGTCACATCTTATCTGGATGAGTGCTGCACAATACCGTTTTTATAAGGGATACATGTGTGGGTAGTCTTTCATATTAAACATGATCGCTGGTAGATAGCCACAGAAATCGTAACACAATTTAACCTGGGCGGGTCCCGGTTCCGTGGGAGGATCACAGTTTAACACAGATGAAGACTTCTCCACGCTGCTTTCAAACTGTGAGTAAACACCGTGTGCTTCACTTGGAGGCTGTCTGAAGGTATACACAGATGGACTTGGACATTAACAACGATATTCCGTAATAAGTCTGGAAACAATAGCTGGTTTAAATGATTTATTCGAGCAACTCGTTTGTCTTGTAGTCCTCGCTGTTCGCGTCCGGATATCGCCATCGTAATCACAACCTCACACACTGGTACTGGATGTGCATCAACGTGTTCCTAAGAAGCCAAATATACCAAAAGATGTATGTAAACGACAGAAGAAAGCGATCGAAATGTGTATTTCAGTCGAAAGCTCTATGGTACCCATGTACATGTCAAAATTCTTCCCAAAGGTCAAGGAATACCATGATCATAACACCAGAGGGAGCTCCGCAAATCATGTGAAACCCAGATTTGGCACAAAAAGGGGGAATACACGTTTCGCAATGATGCCACATCAAGGTGGAACGCTCTTCCCACAACTGTGAAGGAAAGTAAAACTATACTTACCTTCCAAACCTCTCTTAAAGAGCACCTTCGGGGGAGAGCATTGCAAAACTGGCCCCGGTAATGGTACAAATCTCAACCTGTCGTTCAATGGACAGCTTCCCCCCCCCCCCATCTATGTATATACTCGCATTTTAGACTCTGTTACTAACTGTATATCTGTAGACTTGGTATGTCTTAAATGTCCGGTTAGGATGTATTAGAACGATATCTAAAATGTAAATTGTAAATAAGCAATCTGTATGTAAAAAAACACCTGTATGTAAATTGTAAATAAGCCATCTGTATGTCAAATATGTCTTATATGTCTTAAATGACATGATGAATTGGAAATGGGGGACCCTAATGTAAACAAGACGAAAGTCTTTCTTTGGTCTGCATCCCCTTAACAATTGTATGTTTTGAGCTGTACTGTACTGTACCCAATATACAAGCTGTTAATAAACTTTTCAATCAATCAATCAAAGCCACGCACCCCACGGAAACAAGTTGATCCGGAACACCGGACTGGTTCAATGTTTATTGCAGAACGTATTGAAATGAACTTATTGCACATATTAAACCTGGAACTAACAAAGCTTAAATGATTGCCTATAAAAACAACATTAAATAATCAGTTGCATTAATTTCTTATGGCTGTATCTGCAGCTTCTCCAGACTCATTTCTTATGAGTACATTTCTCCACAGGCCAACAACAGCTTCAACAAAACTATTCCCCTCACAGAGGAAACCAAACATGCCCTGTTGTCCTGAGAGAAAGTGCAGAAGGAAGCATCCATTGAACTCAGTGTGCTGCTCTGTGATGCTAGCTCAGATACTTGGCCTCTCATCTTGGGTGCAAGGTCATCAATGTTTGGGGTCAGGCTCTGAGCGGAGGAGACCCTCAGGATGGAGTGAAGGTGTGCGTGCAATATACCGGAGGGCCAGATCTAATAGGAATTAGAAATTATCCTGCGGGCCGAAATTCAATCCACCAAGGGCCTGATTTGGCCCCCGGGCCTTGAGTTTGACACATGTGCTCGAGAGTGATACGCAGACACAAACAGATGATTTCCGGTCTTTTGCTGCAGTTTAGAATGATGTTTATTTAGCTTTACATACCAAGGTTTAATTATACTGTGTCAAAGGGTTGTGGTATGAGCATCTGCCGGGCTGGTGGAATCGCTGTGCTCTTCCTCCCGTGTCCTGTGTCCTTTCCTGTCACATGTGACCCGTTTTATACACCCGGTGCAGCTAAACCCCGCCACCAAGTGTTCAAAAATAATATTGCACCATACATATAAATAAAGTAAACTGAGACACCAAAAACACCCATAAAATGGCTCCTAGAAGGATATTATATATACATTAATTGTGCAAGGAATGGATTATTAAATAGGATATAAAATGTACAGTGGGATTTTAAGTCCAGTTATCAAGAGAAGCTTCTCTGCCAGTAAACAAATAAATGAATGCTTCCTTAGCATGTCATTGAAATAACCAAGAGTATTTATTTTTCACAGAACCCCCAGGTGTGAGCGATGCAGTTCTGCAGTACTCGGGGGGGAGTCCATGGATGGGACTTCCAGCAGGTGCTTTTCTCCGGTTTTGCTCCAGACGGAGGGATGTTCATGCCTGAAAGTGTTCCTGTGCTGAGCCCCGAGACCCTGAGGAGCTGGGGGGGGCTGAGCTACACTGACCTGGTGGTGGAGGTGGCCTCTCTGTTCATCCCCCCCCATCTGATCCCCAGAGAGGACCTGGAGGGTGAGATCTCAGTCCCACAAAACACCTCATCTGATCAGAGATGGCAAAGGTACACACATCCTTTACTCAAGTAGAAGTACAGATACTCGTGTTTAAAAATACTCTGGTGAAAGTAGAAGTACTGACTAAACTTCTTTACTCAAGTCAAAGTAAAGAGGCTTTGAAATGTACTTCAGTAAAAAGTACCCATAACTAGCAGCTGTTTTAAAGAGTACCTGACCTCCCTTTATATTAATAGAACAATAATGTCATTGTTAGCTAATGAATGTTTCCATGCTGAACAACGGCAACATGACAACGTTTCCATTGGTCCCTCTTCTTTAGAGAAGACCAGGAAATGATGGATACACGGATCGTGTTCAAATCAATAGGCACGCAATGACTCTAAAGAATAATGATCACGCATCAAACACACATTCAGACTAAAGGAACCAGCTGTTTGGAAAATGAGAGAAGTAGAAAGTACAGGTATTTGAGTTCAACATGTAAGAAGTAGAAAGTACAGGTATTTGAGTTCAACATGTGAGAAGTAGAAAGTACAGGTATTTGAGTTCAACATGTAAGAAGTAGAAAGTACAGGTATTTGAGTTCAGCATGTGAGAAGTAGAAAGTACAGGTATTTGAGTTCAACATGTAGGAAGTAGAAAGTACAGGTATTTGAGTTCAACATGTAGGAAGTAGAAAGTACAGGTATTTGAGTTCAACATGTAGGAAGTAGAAAGTACAGGTATTTGAGTTCAACATGTAGGAAGTAGAAAGTACAGGTATTTGAGTTCAACATGTAAGAAGTAGAAAGTACAGGTATTTGAGTTCAACATGTAAGAAGTAGAAAGTACAGGTATTTGAGTTCAACATGTGAGAAGTAGAAAGTACAGGTATTTGAGTTCAACATGTAAGAAGTAGAAAGTACAGGTATTTGTGTTCAACATGTAAGAAGTAGAAAGTACAGGTATTTGAGTTCAACATGTAAGAAGTAGAAAGTACAGGTATTTGTGTTCAACATGTAAGAAGTAGAAAGTACAGGTATTTGTGTTCAACATGTAAGAAGTAGAAAGTACAGGTATTTGTGTTCAACATGTAAGAAGTAGAAAGTACAGGTATTTGTGTTCAACATGTGAGAAGTAGAAAGTACAGGTATTTGTGTTCAACATGTAAGAAGTAGAAAGTACAGGTATTTGAGTTCAACATGTAAGAAGTAGAAAGTACAGGTATTTGAGTTCAACATGTAAGAAGTAGAAAGTACAGGTATTTGGGTTTAACATGTAAGAAGTAGAAAGTACAGGTATTTGTGTTCAACATGTGAGAAGTAGAAAGTACAGGTATTTGAGTTCAACATGTAGAAAGTATAGGTATTTGTGTTCAACATGTAAGAAGTAGAAAGTACAGGTATTTGTGTTCAACATGTGAGAAGTAGAAAGTACAGGTATTTGGGTTCAACATGTAAGAAGTAGAAAGTACAGGTATTTGAGTTCAACATGTAAGAAGTAGAAAGTACAGGTATTTGGGTTCAACATGTAAGAAGTAGAAAGTACAGGTATTTGAGTTCAACATGTGAGAAGTAGAAAGTACAGGTATTTGAGTTCAACATGTAAGAAGTAGAAAGTACAGGTATTTGAGTTCAACATGTAAGAAGTAGAAAGTACAGGTATTTGTGTTCAACATGTGAGAAGTAGAAAGTACAGGTATTTGGGTTCAACATGTAAGAAGTAGAAAGTACAGGTATTTGAGTTCAACATGTAAGAAGTAGAAAGTACAGGTATTTGAGTTCAACATGTAAGAAGTAGAAAGTACAGGTATTTGTGTTCAACATGTGAGAAGTAGAAAGTACAGGTATTTGGGTTCAACATGTAAGAAGTAGAAAGTACAGGTATTTGAGTTCAACATGTAAGAAGTAGAAAGTACAGGTATTTGAGTTCAACATGTAAGAAGTAGAAAGTACAGGTATTTGTGTTCAACATGTGAGAAGTAGAAAGTACAGGTATTTGTGTTCAACATGTAAGAAGTAGAAAGTACAGGTATTTGAGTTCAACATGTAGGAAGTAGAAAGTACAGGTATTTGAGTTCAACATGTAAGAAGTAGAAAGTACAGGTATTTGAGTTCAACATGTAAGAAGTAGAAAGTACAGGTATTTGAGTTCAACATGTAAGAAGTAGAAAGTACAGGTATTTGTGTTCAACATGTGAGAAGTAGAAGTACAGGTATTTGTGTTCAACATGTAAGAAGTAGAAAGTACAGGTATTTGAGTTCAACATGTGAAGAAGTAGAAAGTACAGGTATTTGAGTTCAACATGTGAGAAGTAGAAAGTACAGGTATTTGAGTTCAACATGTGAGAAGTAGAAAGTACAGGTATTTGAGTTCAACATGTAAGAAGTAGAAAGTACAGGTATTTGAGTTCAACATGTAAGAAGTAGAAAGTACAGGTATTTGAGTTCAACATGTAAGAAGTAGAAAGTACAGGTATTTGAGTTCAACATGTAAGAAGTAGAAAGTACAGGTATTTGAGTTCAACATGTAAGAAGTAGAAAGTACAGGTATTTGAGTTCAACATGTAAGAAGTAGAAAGTACAGGTATTTGAGTTCAACATGTAAGAAGTAGAAAGTACAGGTATTTGAGTTCAACATGTAAGAAGTAGAAAGTACAGGTATTTGTGTTCAACATGTAAGAAGTAGAAAGTACAGGTATTTGTGTTCAACATGTGAGAAGTAGAAAGTACAGGTATTTGGATTCAACATGTAAGAAGTAGAAAGTACAGGTATTTGAGTTCAACATGTAAGAAGTAGAAAGTACAGGTATTTGAGTTCAACATGTAAGAAGTAGAAAGTACAGGTATTTGTGTTCAACATGTGAGAAGTAGAAAGTACAGGTATTTGTGTTCAACATGTGAGAAGTAGAAAGTACAGGTATTTGAGTTCAACATGTAAGAAGTAGAAAGTACAGGTATTTGTGTTCAACATGTAAGAAGTAGAAAGTACAGGTATTTGGGTTCAACATGTAAGAAGTAGAAAGTACAGGTATTTGAGTTCAACATGTAAGAAGTAGAAAGTACAGGTATTTGAGTTCAACATGTGAGAAGTAGAAAGTACAGGTATTTGAGTTCAACATGTAAGAAGTAGAAAGTACAGGTATTTGAGTTCAACATGTAAGAAGTAGAAAGTACAGGTATTTGGGTTCAACATGTGAGAAGTCAAAGTAAAAAGTCGAAAACTAAGTAGTGGAGTAAAGTACTGATACCAGAAACATGTACAAAGTACAGTAACAAAGTATTTGTACTCCACTACTCAGTAGGTCAGTTACTCTTTAAAACAGCTGCTAGTTATGGGTACTTTTTACTTAAGTACATTTCAAAGCCCATACTTCTTTACTTTCACTTGAGTAAAGAAGTTTAGTCAGTACTTCTACTTTTACCAGAGTATTTTTAAACGTGAGTATCTGTACTTCTACTTGAGTAAAGGATGTGTGTACTTTTGCCCTCTCTGGTGAAATCCACAGACTAACACCTGCTCTCTCCTCAGGGTTAGTTAATGAGGCTCTGAGTGGATTCTCAGTGCCCGAGGTGGTGACTGTCTCCCGGCTGAAGGACGGTCTGTCCGTCCTGGAGCTTTTCCACGGAGAAACCTTAGCCTTTAAGGACCTGGCGATGACCTGCACCGTGCGCTTCCTCGACTACTTCCTGCAGAAACAGAATCGCAGAGCTACAGTCATTGTGGGTAAGACCTCACAGCTGTCATGTGATCACTAAGGAATCTGCTTTATCTGGTCTACAACATTAAGGGGAATATCTGACACAAAATATGTTTGGTGAGTTAGAGCCGAGTAGACCTTGATTTGTTTTAATCATAGTGATAATTACACTTTGATTATCATCACATTCATGCTCCCCAGAGGACGCACTAATCATAGATGATAAATGTACGGAATACAATTTTTGGGGCGAGGATATAAATGCAATTATTCGTCACATTATTTCCGATCCAAAACCTCAATGTGTGATGTCACAATATTCATATTCTGTACAAACTGTAACGTCCCATGAGACAAATGTAAAATGTGTGATATTGGGCTGTATAAATACACTTTGATTGATTGAAACGTGTGTGTGTGTGTGTGTGTGTGTGTGTGTGTGTGTGTGTGTGTGTGGAGTCACTAAGTACATTTACTCAAGTATTATTTGGACATACTTCTACCCTCATACATTTAACACGTATGTCGTTTATTTGCGTTTTCATTTACTTGCAATTTGTGACACTTTCACCATTCTGTTGCATTAATATCTCATCTTTTATGTTAGAGAAGAAACAGCAATGTCGTACCGGAGCCTACACACGGCGGCGTGCGTTGCCGCTTGGCGGTGGGCGTGTCTTGAGCTTGGGGAGTCAACGCGAGCAACGCGACCAACAACCAATCACATGAATCTCCCGCCCTGGACATACAAAGCAAAGCATTCATGCTACATCCATGCTGGCTAAATATACTGTCTATGCTTGCTAGCTGTCCATTCAAACGAAGTACACTGGATATAAACTCCCCAAACAGGTGAAAGCCTGCCAGTTTCACCCACTGTCTCTGCCACCTCCTCCCATGCCTGGCTCCTCCGGTTTGTATCCCTGTATGTAAAGAGGGACTGGTCATATAGTACCGGGTGATTCCCTCCCGCCACGATCATTTTCTCCTCAATTTTTTTACATATGGGAAATAACTGCAGTCTGGCTCTCCCAACATACACGCGGTTTGATTGGCTCGCGCTTGTACTGTCAGATTTGCATACGCGGGATTTGATTGGCTGACGCCTCCGTCGAGGCGGCAAAAGTAGAACATTGCTCTACTTTTGCAGCGAGCACCGCGAGAGAAGCTACGCTTTGCTCCCACAATGCAGTTCGGCGAATCGTGACGTCACCCCATTCAAAGTGAATGGGCAGAAGCGTTGAAGCTTCAACGCACGCCGCTGTGTGGACGGGCCTACACACGGCGGCGTGCGTTGAAGCTTCCAACGCTTCTGCCCATTCACTTTGAATGGGGTGACGTCACTTTTAGCCGAACTGCATTTTGGGAAGCGACGTGGAGCGTTGCTGGCGTAGCTCGCTTCAAAAGTATAGCAATGTTCAACTTCAATCGAATCATATGCCAGTACAAGCTCTAGCCAATCAAACCGCGTGCTTGTGTGTCAGGGACGGGAGATTCATGTGATTGGTTGTTGGTCGAGTTTCAGACACGCCCGCCGGCAAGCGTCAACGCACGCCGCTGTGTGGACGGGCCGTTACTGATCAACGTAGTAGGACTAGAGTGATTTTAACCATATCGCCCTAAAACCTGCTGATGTTTCCCTCTCCAGGAACATCAGGAGACACGGGGGGGTCGGCCATCCAAAGTGCGAAGGGCCTCAGAGGACTGGACGTTCTGGTGGTTTTTCCTCGAGGACGCATCACTCCAGTCCAGGAGAAACACATGATCACCTGCCTGGAGGACAACGTGCACGTGTTTGCAGGTAAATAAATCAAATATAAATAAATATTGGGAGTTCTCTGCTTTTAACCCATGCTAGTGCCAGGAGTCTAGTACTAGGAGCAGTGGGCAGCTATTGTACAGCGCCCGCGGAGCAGTGGGAGTGGGGGGGGAAGGGGGATGTCCGGTGCCTTGCTCAAGGGCACCACGGCAGGGCAGGAGGTGAACTGGGACCTCTCCAAGTAGCAGTCCACACTCAATATTTTAGGTCTGTTCGTCGGGGACTTGAACCGGCGACCCTACGTCTCACAGTCCAAGATAAGATAAGATAAGACTTTATTTATCCCGAAGGACATTGTTGTGCCAGAGTAACAAAATACAATAAACACAATAAACACAGCAGCAAAACTGTACACTAAAAGTGCAGCAAAAAGAGCAATTAAACATCGACAGACAACATGACACATAGAAACATAGACGGTCACACAATCAATGCAATTATTAGCAGTATTTAGTAGTTAGTGGTGCAACAAATAAAACGTAGTGGCAGTTACGTAATTGCACGTTATCATAGCATTATTAATAATACTAGTAATAATAATATTGCACATAGTTATATATATATATATTATATATATTTATAGCAGCGAGTGTATTGTAATGATGGTAATTATATTGATATGTTGCACATAGTGTTGGTGTGGAAGTTCTCAGTGCGCTTTACTTAGGGGTGAAGAGTTACAGAGTGTGATGGCCACTGGGAGGAAAGACCTCCTGTGGCGCTGTGTGGTGGTCTTCGGTGGTCTCAGTCTGTGGCTGAAAGTGCTCCGGTAGGAAACCAGCGTGGCATGCAGGGGGTGAGACCCGTTGTCCAGAATGCCGAGAAGTGTCCTCAGCATTCTCCCCTCCGACACCACTGCCAACGACTCCTGATCCACTCCCAGGACAGAGCCTGCTCTCCTGATGAGCTGGTTGAGTCTGTTGGCATCAGCTGTCTTCACCCCGCTGCCCCAACACACTACAGCAAAGAAGATCCCACTGGAGACCACCGAGTCATAACACATCTGCAACATAGTGCTGCAGACTTTGAAGGACCTGAGTCTCCTGAGGAAATACAGGCGACTCTGGCCTTTCTTATATAGGGCCTCAGTGTTTTTACTCCAGTCCAGTGTATTGTCTATGTGGACACCCAGGAACTTGTAGCTGTCCACAATGTCCACATCCATGCCCACGATGGTAACTGGGCTTGGGGCGGTGCTCCGCTTCCTGAAGTCAACCACTAGCTCCTTAGTTTTTGTGACGTTGAGCTGCAGATGGTTCTGACCGCACCACTCCACAAAACTGTCCACCACACTCCTGCACTCAGCTTCCTGATCTCTGACGATACAGCCCACAATGGCATCTGAGAACTGCTGCAGATGGCAGGACTGTGAGCCGTGTCTGAAGTCTGATGTATAGACTGTGAACAGGAAGGGAGAGAGGACCGTGCCCTGAGGAGCGCCCGTGCTGCTCAATATAATGTCAGAGGTGTTCTGCAGCTTCACGTACTGTGGCCGAGCTGTGAGATAGTTATCCAGCTCGCCAGTGGAGCATCCACCTGCATGTCCAGTAGCTTACTGCTGAGCAGGGCAGGTCTGATGGTATTGAAAGCACTGGAAAAGTCAAAGAACATGACTCTCACAGTGCTGCCTGCCTTCTCCAGGTGTGTGTGTGCTCTGTGCAGCAGGAAGATGATGGCGTCCTCCACTCCAATACGAGGCTGATATGCAAACTGCAGGGGGTCTAGTGATGGTGCGACCACTGTACGGAGGTGTTTAAGGACAGCCTCTCCAGCGACTTCATGGCATGTGACGTCAAAGCCACCGGTCTGTAGTCACTGTGTGTGCGTGGATGTATCTTCTTCGGCACAGGAACCAGGCATGTTGTCTTCCACAGGGCAGGGACGGCCATCATGTCCAGGCTCAGTTGAAAATGTGCCGAAAAACTGCACACAGCTGAGTAGCACATCCTTTCAGCAGACTGAGGCCGTCAGGCCCTGCAGCCTTCCTTGAGTGTAGACGACTCCCCTCACGTCCTCTGCAGTGATGGCGAGTGGGGGCACAGTGGGGCTGAGAGAGAGCCCTGGTCGGGGGGGGGGGCAAGAGGGATGAGATGGGAGGAAAGGCTCCCTGGGGGTCACAGGGGGTGAGTCACAGGTGGAGGAGCTGGAGGAGGGAGGGGTGGTAACCTCATCATCAAACCTGTTGAAAAACTGGTTTAAGTCATTGGCCTCCTGTAGGTCTCCTCCCATCACCTGGTCAGTCTTATTTCCATACCCAGTGATGGTTCTCATCCCACGCCACACTTCCCTGGTGTTGTTTTGGGCCAGTTTACTCTCCAGCTTCCTCCTGTAGCACTCCTCGTTTGTATTTCCTTCTTCAGTTGTAACTGCCTTCTTCATCTCCTCCTTGTCACCACTCCTGAAGGCAGCTTTGTTCCTGTTAAGTGACGCCTTGATGTCTTTGGTCACCCAGGGTTTATTATTGGAAAAACACTTAATTGTTCTGGCGGGGATTATATTGTCCGTGCAAAAATGAATATAGTCAATGATGCAGTCTGTGAGTCCGTCTATATCCTCCCCATGTGCATCACGGAGGACATCCCAGTCAGTCACCTCAAAACATCCCTGTAAAGTCTCCACAGCCTCCTGTGAGCACGTCCGTACAGGTTTCCGCTGGACTGCTGGTTTATAAAGGGGTTTTAAGTGCACCAGGTTATGGTCTGATCTGCCTAAGGGGGGGGAGTGCTATTGAGCTATATGCCTCCTTGACATTAGCATACAGTAAGTCTAATGTTTTATTTCCCCTCGTTTTGCAATCAACATACTGTTTAAAGGTTGGAAGAGATTTCTTTAGATTGACATGGTTGAAATCCCCAGATATTGCTATGAAGGCATTGGGATGCAGAGTCTGAAGTCTTGCAGTCGCGGAGTTGATGACGTCAGCATCAGCCCCGACTGACTGAGACCCTGCCGGTAAAGGGGTGTGGTGGCATTTTTATTATCGTTAAATTACATTGCATTTAGCTGACGCTTTTATCCAAAGTGACGTACAATAAGTGCGATATCTTCCTACATGACATACTGATCTCAGAGCTGCTGATCTGGGTATATCCTTCTCGTAAAATATGATTGTATGTCAGGGTGTCCGCGGGGTCTTAAAAAGTATTACAAGTTGATAAATCAATTTAGCGAAAATGAAGGCTATTAAAAAGTCATTCTCCAAGGCATTACATTTTGTAGCTTGTTTTCAATAAGTATATAAATGGTCCAGAGAGGTTGTATTCTACAGTCTGCCTGAATGTAATCATGGCGTAGGTGTGTAGTGTGATTCTGTGTAGTTTATTGATGGCATCCCGTTGGGTTTGACGTCATCTGAACAGGACATCGCACGCTCACTGCTTGATAGCGCGGAGGTCCGTTTACGCCGGTTGTTAAACAACATCGTTATGGGGAAATGCAAGTCTGCGTCCAAATGGTTGGAAGATAAGAAGGAAGCACAATCAATACTGTATATAGTCAATGTGAGGTGAAGTGTGTCGCCAAGGTAACCGGTTAAAACTCAAAGTGGCGATGAGGTCTTAACATGTATGGATTCCTGCATAGACCCTGCTATATGCACACCTTGAGGTATTGGAAGATGATAGGAGAGGACTCAATGTCAATTAAGTTAAAAAAGACGACGATTGTTACCAAGCTTCAGCAAGGGACTCCCTATGCTGTTTCCTTTTTTAAATGTAAAGAATCGGTTATATCATTTGATTCTGTATCTATAGGTCCCTCTGTGGGAGCGACTAGAAAACAATAAAAAGTTGGTTACAAAAAGACACAACGTTTTTACGACATTGGTTTTCATTCCTTCTACGCTGGTCTCTCAAAGACACCTTTAAAAAGAGACACGTGAATCACACAAGTCGTCAAATTAAACCAAAACATTGAAAACCTTTTCCATTTCAACAGAGCTGCAAACATCAGAATCAGAAACAGGTTTATCACCAGGTCGTTTAACTTTAACACATACGAGGAATTTGACTTGGTGTTGTGGTGCATACATAAATAAAAACTAAATTTAAAAACACAGATAGAAAACTATTTTAGGAAAACTAGAATAAGATAGTATAGTAAAATATAGCAGTATTTACATTAAAATGGTTGAAGGGACAGTTTCATTCCACAGGCCATAAGACTGTTAAACACCTGAACTTTTGAAAGAACCAGTGCCGATTCCAGGGCCCCTCGAACCAGCTTTTCAGCACCACGCACAGCCGACAGCAACCCCCCCCACAAGGCAACGACACTTAAGATAAGAAGCAGGATAGAACCGCAGTGACGCGTCCTAAAACCCGGATGTAAACTCCTTCCGGTTCCTTCGTCAAAACGCAATGCAATGTCTCCATAGGATTTTGGAAAATAGCTGGAAATCAGGTCTGTTGTTGAAACACATTTAAGAGACGGGTCACGTTTTGTTCGGATAATCTCCACGTGTCTATCCTACTTTTATAATTTTCGAAGCATAAATCTAGTCGCAAAATGCTAACGTTATGCTATAAAGGAACTACAGCTGGGTCGCTGCTTCAGCGTCACGCCGACTTCAGATCCATATTCAAACACACAGATTCTAAATGGTACGAGTTGAAGCGTTTGTTTGAACAGTCTGCAGGAGGCAGGGACTTGCTCTCAAGCAGAACAGAAACTAACTTAGAGGAGTGTTCACGTGTTCGGCGTAATGACGTAAAACGGCCTGGACAGCTTCTGTAGTCCTATTCAGCCACTTGGTAACAACCATCGTTTTTCAGACACGTAAACTCTTCAGAAATCACCAGTGGGGTCACTGCTGATGGATTTAATGTCCTAGAACAAAACGTGATCTGTCTCTTCAATTTGTGTCAAACACAGACCTTATTTGGAGCTATTTTCCAAAACCCTATGGAGAAATTGCTTTGCTTTTTATCGAAGGAACCGGACGTGGTAAAAATGCTAACTTACTTCCGGGTTTTAGGACGCGTCACTGCGGTTCTGGTTTCCCGACATGTCGTTGCAGTAAATTAAAGAGTGTTTCATGTTGTCGTTGCTGTGGACCTTCTTAATCTACCTTCTTTGGGGGCCCCCTTCTGGTCCGGGGCCCCAAGCAGCTGCCTGCCTTGCCTGTCCGAACATTCATCTGTTTGCAACTTACAAATTACTTATCTAATATATCATATTCCAATTAGACTCCCCTTGCACTATTTCTATTCTATTTTATTTGTATTTACTTGCACTATTTTAACAATTCTATCTGTTATTGTGTTGCACTGTTGGAGGAGTCTGTGACCTCAGATTTTCATCGACATATCTACACTGTAGCTATGTACACATGGCAATATGAATCTTGAACCCGTGTTGTTTTCCCTGCAGCTGACGGCAGCTCAGACGACATCGACCAGCCTCTGCGTCGCCTTTTTGCCGACCAGGATTTGGTCCGAGCTCACGGCCTGATGAGCCTGAACTCTGTGAACTGGTCCAGAGTCATGGTGCAGCTCGCTCACTTATCTACGCCTACCTGCAGCTCAGCGGGGTGAAGCAGGCGGAGGGAGATCTGCCTGAACTGGAGGTGGTGGTTCCTACTGGGGGGGGCGGGCAACATCGCAGGTGAGTCACTGGTACAGACTGCTATGACAATGATGGGGGTCAAAACACATCCATCTCTCCAAAACATATATGAGCAGTCCATTATTAGACAGGCACAAAACATGGTGTCCCACCTAGTGTTGTCACGATACCAACATTTTAGTTTCGATACCGATACCAAGTCAAGAATTGCGATTTCGAAACCGTCTTAAATGTCATTATTGTGCTTTATTTCAAACCTGGCATTTTTTTTCAGTCATAACACAAACCTTTGAACAATGAGAACAATAACAAAACAATGGCATTCAAGATAAAATGACAAGAATCCGTGTTAACTAAAATAGCAGCATCGTCTCAAACAACTTACCAAGTTTGATGTGTTGGATCCCTTGGTTTGCAGGGATCTGAAACATTTCTCACAGACAGGCCTCGTGGTGTCCGTAGGCTTGCCCTCGCTGTCGGAGATTTAACCAAAATACTTCAAAATGTCGTTTCATGCGTCTTTTTTGTCTACAAGCCGAGGCGCATCCGCAATCGCACGTGCAGCCACGCTTCTCGTTTCGTCACATGATAGGAGGCGTGTGGCGCAGTGGACTAGTGCGTTGGTGTTCGGATCAGGGGGTCACAGGTTCAAACCCCACTGCAGTCAGCATGTCGTTGTGTCCCTGAGACACTTCACCCCAAAGTGTTCCTGTGGGGATTGTCCCGTTCTTATTATACATCCATGGATTGCCCACAGTATTGAGTATGTAAGTCGCTTTGGATAAAAGCGTCTAACAAGTAACATGTAATGATATGAGAGCGTGCATGAGAGAAGAAAAAACGGCACTGCAGGCACGGCGGCAGGGAGTGGAAGCAGAGCGCTGAACACACACAGGAAATACGGCTCTTATTAAAACATTGAGATCATTGATCTCTTGAAAAAGAGATCAATGATCTCAATGGGATTTATCTGTATAAATAAAGGTTTTAAATGAAATGAAATGAAAAACATGTCATTCTTAAAGTACCGATACTAATGAAATGGAGGAACCGTAGCGTTTTTAACGGCAGGGTATCGTGACTTTTCTAGTATCGGTGCACCGTGCAACACTGGTCCCACCCACATACTCTACCCAGAATTCCAGCTCCTCCCGTCTGGTAGGAGATTCAGGGTTCCCAAGAGCAGGCTGAACCGCTACAAGCACTCATTCCTACCTATGCCCATTAAGCTTCTTAACATTCACATGTAATGAAATACACTTTTTAAATGTTGGCCATGAGGGTTGTGCAATAGGTCGCCATTGTCAGTCTGTGTATTGTGTTTGTTCAAACGGTGTATGAGTGATGATATGTGGATGTATTTTAATGTTCGTATCGTATCACTGCAGCTGGTGGGGAACTGGGTTAAAAGATGACTTCAGTCAACAATCCAGCGCTTGATTAACTAGTACTCAACTTAAGCTGAGTGTTTAATAATCAGGCTTGACAGTTGGGTTGGGAGGGTTACTTTAAAAATGTCCTCAGTTACAATAATTAGTTACATGTCAAAAAAAGGAATCGGTAACCTAATCTGAGTATCAAAATATAAAAGTAACCTGATCAAAAATGTGTACTCTAGGTGGGCTGATTTTGACTACCATGAGTAGTAGTAGTACTATTGGATATAGAGAGCCACAGATGAACAATATAATCATTTTTTTTCAAATCACTAGGCACTATCTGTCCAATCCAAATGATCCAGAGTGCCCTAAATCCTCCAAATCGGTCCACAGAGAGTACACATATTGCCATTTTCCTGTTAAAACTGCCATTGTCATCACTTCACGACTCGACTACTGCAATAGCATCCTCTACGGCAGGGGTATTCAACTAAAATTCAACGAGGTCCAGTTAGAGAAAATCTCCCCATGCAAAGGTCCGGAACATCAAAATGTCTAACTTGCTTCATGAATTAGTGTGTATATATTGAAGTAGCTGTAGCTTTATCAACGTCTGCATGTAATCAACAACTGACTGCCAATCAAATAAAGAAAGTACAATTCAAAAACAACAACATTTATTGTCCATTAACATTGAACTACAGATATACAGTAAATGCTGTGGATATGTGTAATGTTCCTCTCGGGCTGCATTTAAAAATAAAAATAGAGAAAATAAATAAAATATCTTTTGAAAATATGTGCATCTCAAAAGTGCTTAATTTTAGATAAATAAAATAAAGTGTAGCAGCAGCTTGAGTTTCCCTTTTTCTTTGTTAACCGTTTCACATCATGACTTAACAGTTTCAGCCGATTATAGAACAACATCAGTATTTACATCATAACCATTGAACAGTTTTAAAGTTTCTCTTTCTTTCCCTCTTATATTGCAGTCCCTCAATCACTTTGTTTTAATTCAGTGCGAGAATTGAGCTGGAGCTTGTCCTGCCAGGAGTTTAAATCTGGGCTGAAATGGTGTCAGGGGCCATTCTCATACACACATGCAGGTGCTCATTGGTTAGCCTCGGTTAGCTCATTGGTTAGCCTCGGTTAGCCCTGGAACGATATTTAGTTCTAATTTTGATCCTGGTCGACTGATCATATCGGGCTCTGAGACTGCTTATTTATTGTGACCTCAGTTCTGACTTGAGAGGGAATGTTTGGTCAAACACTTTGTGTTTTGTCTCATAGTGGAGTTTTGCCACTTTTAATGAGCACCACGGTCTCTGAACAAATGAGACACACTGGTTCTGTGCTCCCAGAGGGCAGGAAGAACATGAATGAGTCCGTCCACTCAGGGTTAAAAGCTCTGTTCTCACTGTCCACTTTCCTCTTCTTGGAGAGCGCCATGTGTAATTATTTGTCTCTCCCTGTCTGCCGCTAACACGCCTGTTCACTCTCCGCTTCTATCCCTGTATCGCTAATTATTCTCTTCACTCACTTTCCTCTCCGCTTCTCTCTGCCGCGCTCTCATCTCTTCTTCTGTGTTTCTCTCCCTGCATCGCTCACTCGTCTCTTTCGCCCCCTGTCGGCGGTGGTTAAAATAGAATCGCCCCGTCAAAATTGAAATCCCCTATTAAGTATTGATTATAGGTCCGGGTCCGTATATGTCGGCGTCTGGGTCCGGATCCGGACCGCGGTCCGCCTGTTTGCCGACCCCTGCTCTACGGCATACCATCCAACCTCCTCAATAGACTCCAACATATCCAGAACTCTGCTGCCCTTCTCCTCACCCACACCCGCTCCCGAGACCACATCACTCCCGTCCTCCAGAACCTCCACTGGCTCCCCGTCCGTCAAAGAATCAACTTCAAAGTCCTCCTCATTACTCACAGGCCCCCCCCTACCTCACAGACCTGCTGCACCACCACACCCCTTCCCCCCACCTCACAGACCTGCTGCACCACCACACCCCTTCCCCCCACCTCACAGACCTGCTGCACCACCACGCCCCTTCCCCCCACCTCACAGACCTGCTGCACCACCACACCCCTTCCCGCTGCCTCCGCTCATCAGAAGCCAACCTCCTATCCATCCCCACCCGCACCAAGCACCGGACCTGGGGGGACAGAGCCTTCTCCGTCGCTGCCCCCCTCCCTCTGGAACTCACTCCCCCATCAGAGACTGCACTGACCTCATCACCTTCAAAACACTCACAAAAACTCACCTCTTCAATCTGGCTTTTAATGTGTGATTGTTTTTGTATTATTTGACTTTAACTTTAACTATATATTTATTTGTTGTTCCTTCCTTTTCTTTTCCCTTCACTATATCTGTAAAGCGTCTTTGAGCACCTGTAACAGCGCTAACAAATTAAATCTATTATTATTATTATTGTTGATCCTGAAAATATCATAAATGGACTCAATACATCCTCAATAACCCCCATAAATCACTCCAAATGTGTCCAAATCGGCCAAGCCACTCTTTTACTATTATTTAAATAGGCTATAATGCTATTCATTTTAATTAACGCAACTTATGCTAATTGTGCAAATTGCCCAACATATGCAGGTTAGCATCCGGTGGTTTCTATGTGCTGCCGGGGACCCTTACTATACATTTCTGTCATAAAACGTTGGGGTAATCCACAACTATGAGCTGGCAACAAGACTACTAACATGCTCTGGGGATAATTACTTTATCATCATTTTAGCAGCAAAGATTTGTATGTGTTCCCAACATGCGTGTCTGTCTGTGTTTGTTTTGTCTCAGCTGGATACATTGTGAAGCAGATGGGAATGCCTCTGAAACTGGTGGCCATGGTGAACTCTAACGACATCGTTCACAGGACCGTAACCAAGGGGGACTTCTCCATGGCGGATACTGTCAAACAAACATTAGCCCCCGCTATCGACATCCAGGTAATACTGTCACCAGAGAGGCAAGAGTACACACATCCTTTCCTCAAGTAGAAGTACAGATACTCGTGTTTAAAAATACTCTGGTAAAAGTAGAAGTACTGACTAAACTTCTTTACTCAAGTCAAAGTAAAGAGGCTTTGAAGTGTACTTCAGTAAAAAGTACCCATAACTAGCAGCTGTTTTAAAGAGTACCTGACCTCCCTTTATATTAATAGAACAATAATGTCATTGTGTAGCTAATGAATGTTTCCATGCTGAACAACGGCAACATGACAACGTTCATTGGTCCCTCGTTCTTTAGAGGAAGAGCCAGGAAATGATGGATTACACGGATCGTGTTCAAATCAATAGGCACGCAATGACTCTAAAGAATAATGATCACGCATCAAACACACATTCAGACTAAAGGAACCAGCTGTTTGGGAAATGAAGAGAAGTAGAAAGTACAGGTATTTGAGTTCAACATGTAAGAAGTAGAAAGTACACAGGTATTTGAGTTCAACATGTAAGAAGTAGAAAGTACAGGTATTTGAGTTCAACATGTAAGCAGTAGAAAGACAGGTATTTGAGTTCAACATGTAAGAAGTAGAAAGTACAGGTTATTTGAGTTCAACATGTAAGAAGTAGAAAGTACAGGTATTTGGGTTCAACATGTAAGAAGTAGAAAGTACAGGTATTTGAGTTCAACATGTAAGAAGTAGAATTTTTCTTCGTAGAATCATACAGGTATTTGAGTTCAACATGTAAGAAGTAGAAAGTTACAGGTATTTGAGGTTCAACATGTAAGAGATCATACAAGTAGAATAGAAAGTACAGGTATTTGAGTTCAACATGTAAGAAGTAGAAAGTACAGGTATTTGAGTTCAACATGTAAGAAGTAGAAAGTACAGGTATTTGAGTTCAAACATGTAAGAAGTAGAAAGTACAGGTATTTGAGTTCAACATGTACAGAGAGTAGAAAGTACAGGTATTTGAGTCAACATGTAAGAAGTAGAAAGTACAGGTATTTGAGTTCAACATGTAAGCAGTAGAAAGTACAGGTATTTGAGTTCAACATGTAAGAAGTAGAAAGTACAGGTATTTGAGTTCAACATGTAAGAAGTAGAAAGTACAGGTATTTGAGTTCAACATGTAAGAAGTAGAAAGTACAGGTGTTTTGAGTTCAACATGTAAGGAAGTAGAAAGTACAGGTGTTTGATGTTCAACATGTAAGAAGTAGAAAGTACAGGTATTTTGTTCAACATGTAAGAAGTAGAAAGTACAGGTATTTGTGTTCAACATGTAAGAAGTAGAGAAAGTACAGGTATTTGGTTCAACATGTGAGAAGTAGAAAGTACAGGTATTTGAGTTCAACATGTAAGAAGTAGAAAGTACAGGTATTTGAGTCAACATGTAAGAAGTAGAAAGTACAGGTATTTGTGTTCAACATGAAGAAGTAGAAAGTACAGGTATTGTGAGTTCAACATGTAAGAAGTAGAAAGTACAGGTATTTGAGTTCAACATGTAAGAAGTAGAAAGTACAGGTATTGAGTTCAACATGTAAGAAGTAGAAAAGTACAGGTATTTGAGTTAAACATGAGAGAAGTAGAAAGTACAGGTATTTGGTTCAACATGAGAAGAAGTAGAAATACAGGTATTTGAGTTCAACATGTAAGAAGTAGAAAGTACAGGTATTGGTTCAAACATGTAAGAGTAGAAGTACAGGTATTTGAGTTCAACATGTGAGAAGTAGAAAGTGTTTTTGCAACAAAAAAAAAACAGGTATTTGTTCAACATGTAAGAAGTAGAAAGTACAGGTATTTGAGTTCAACATGTAAGAAGTAGAAATACAGGTATTTGAGTCAACATGTAAGAAGTAGAAAGTACAGGTATTGTGTTCAACATGTAAGAAGTAGAAAGTACGGTATTTGTGTTCAACATGTAAGAAGTAGAAAGTACAGGTATTTGTGTTCAACATGTAAGAAAGAGTAGAAAGTACAGGTATTTGGTTCAACATGTAAGAAGTAGAAAGTACAGGTATTTGTGTTCAAAGGTGAGAAGTAGAAGTATTAGAAGTACAGGTACAGGTATTTGAGTTCAACATGTAAGAAGTAGAAAGTACAGGTATTTGTGTTCAACATGTGAGAAGTAGAAAGTACAGGTATTTGAGTTCAACATGTAAGAAGTAGAAAGTACAGGTATTTGAGTTCAACATGAGAGAAGTAGAAAGTACAGGTATTTGTGTTCAACATGAGAGAAGTAGAAAGTACAGGTATTTGAGTTCAACATGAAAGAAGTAGAAAGTACAGGTATTTGTGTTCAACATGAGAGAAGTAGAAAGTACAGGTATTTGTGTTCAACATGTGAGAAGTAGAAAGTACAGGTATTTGAGTTCAACATGTAGAAGTAGAAAGTACAGGTATTTGAGTTCCAACATGAAAAGAAGTAGAAAGTACAGGTATTTGTGTTCAACATGAGAGAAGTAGAAAGTACAGGTATTTGAGTTCAACATGTAAGAAGTAGAAAGTACAGGCTATTTGTGTTCAACATGAGAGAAGTAGAAAGTACGGTATTTGTGTTCAACATGTGAGAAGTAGAAAGTACAGGTATTTGAGTTCAACATGTTAAGAAGTAGAAAAGTACAGGTATTTGAGTTCAACATGAAAGAAGTAGGAAAGTACAGGTATTTGTGTTCAACATGAGAGAAGTAGAAAAGTACAGGTTATTTGTGTTCAACATGTGAGAAGTAGAAAGTACAGGTATTTGAGTCAACATGTAAGAAGTAGGACAGTACAGGTATTTGAGTTCAACATGAAAGAAGTAGAAAGTACAGGTATTTGAGTTCACATGTAAGAAGTAGAAAGTACAGGTATTTGAGTTCAACATGTAAGAAGTCAAAGTAAAAGTCGTCAGAAAAATAAGTAGTGGAGTAAAGTACTGATACCAGAAAAATGTACTTAAGTACAGTAACAGAGTATTTGTACTCCACTACTTCCCACCTCACTCAGCTTGTAGGAAGACCTGCTCATCAGTGAAGTCCCCTGAAAACATCATGATTCATGTTAACTCACATTGACTTAGAAGTAAATGAAATGTCCCCCATGATGAAAGTAAAATGGACATCCACTGCTTGTTGGTCCTGTAGGACCCGTACAACATGGAGCGGGTGTTCTGGCTGCTGCTGGGCAGAGACGGAGCTTCAGTGAAGAAGATGATGGAGGAGTTTCAACAATCACACAAACACTCTCTGCCAGAAAACCACCGCAAACTGGTACCAGTCATTCAACCTACAGAGCTGAGTCCAGATCAGATGCACGCTGAAGGCTCTTTGAGCAGGGTTTCTCTCACTGATCCTGCTGTTATGTTAAATGTTTGTTGTTCATGTGTCTTGATATGTGTCTGTTGATGTTACACATGGAGCTGCTGGGATGCAAGTCAACTTTCAGACTTGATCTGACCATTCAAGTATTATCGTATCGTAACTCTTAGTACACTTTGAGACACCACTTCTGTGTTGTGTCCAGTGAAAAGCAGCCGGAAACCGGTTTGATCTGGTTGTGAAAATCCTGAATGTCCTCTTCCAACATGAGTAACGTGATAACAAAGGTATCCCAACTGTAGCTGTGAACATGAGGGATGTGTGATTACCTAGAAGAGCATCAGGACTGTTTGAGGCAGATGATAGCTATGTGATTAACATGATGATTCAGCCTCTATGGAGAGAGACATCAAGCATGCTCATTTCTGACGTGGAGCTAATCTGAAGTAAACATTGAATACTGCTTCTATTCCTCCATCTTGTGACTGTGTAACTCCCTCTCTTGGATGTCAGCATGTGAAGGACACTGTTCAGGAACTAGTTGATGCTCTGTATGTGATGACTCCTTCCATTCTGGAGAGGATCACAGACACATGGATCCTGAGGCTGAAGCTCAAGCCGGGGACCAGGGAGAGTTTCTAACAGATCTGTTTCTCTTCCAGCTGTCCCAGGTGTTATCCACTGGATCAGTGAGTGATGAAGGCATCCTGGAGACCATGAGGAGGTGCTGGGAGGAGAACCAGTATGTCCTCTGTCCTCACTCTGCTGTGGCTGTGTGGCATCACTACCACTGTCCCCACAAACCCACCATCAACAGGTCAGCGTACATCTGTTTACACACACACACACACACATACACACACACACACACACACACACACACATGCATTCTGCACAGTTTCTATCATATCGTTTTATTGTTGTTGCACTGTTGGAGGAGACCTACGATTTTCATTGTCCTAACTACACTGTAGCTATGTACAAATGACAATAACAGCCTTGAAACTTGAAACACACACACACACACACACACACACACACACACACACACACACACACACAAAAGCAGTGGTCACACAGCAGCTTGGTGAGGCTGTCCTTTAGGAAAGGTCTGATCTAGATCTTAAAAAATGACTTGAACTCTTTTAATAATAATAATAATAGATTTAATTTGTTAGCGCTGTTACAGGTGCTCAAAGACGCTTTACAGATATAGTGAAGGGAAAAGAAAAGAAAGGAACAACAAATAAATATATAGTTAAAGTTAAAGTCAAATAATACAAAAACAATCACACATTAAAAGCCAGATTGAAGAGGTGAGTTTTTGTGAGTGTTTTGAAGGTGGTGAGGTCAGTGCAGTCTCTGATGGGTTGGGGGAGTGAGTTCCAGAGGGAGGGGGCAGCAACGTCCCCCCTGGTCCGGTGATTGGTGCGGGTGGGGATGGATAGGAGGTTGCTTCTGATGAGTCTGAGGCAGCGGTAAGGGGCGGGTGGTTGCAGCCGTGTCTGTGGAGTAGGGGAAAGGGGTGTGCTGTGCAGCAGGTCCTGGAGTTAGGGGGAAGGGTGTGGCGGTGCAGCAGGTCTTGCAGGTTAGGGGAAAAGGGGTGTGGCGTGCAGTCAGTTCTGTGAAGGTACGGGAAGGGTTGTGGCGGTGCAGCAGGTCTGTGAGCAGCGGGAAGGGGTGTGGTTGGTTTAAGCCGGTTCTGTGATGTAGGGGGGAAGAGGGAAGAGGCGTGGTGGTGCCGCAGTCTTGTGATGTAACTGGGAAGGGGGTGGTGGTGCAGCAAGTTCTGTGGAGGTAGGGTGAAGGGGCGGGGGGTCAGCAGGTCCTGTGAGGTAGGGGGAAGAGGGAAGAATGGCGCGTGGTGGGCAGCAGGTCTGTGAGTAACGGGAAGGGGTGTGGGTGTGCAACAGTTCTGTGAGTAGGGGGAAGGGGCCTTGGTGGTGGCGCAGGTCTGTGAGGTAGGGGGAAGGGGCGTGGTGGTGCAGCAGGTCTGTGAGGTGGGGGGAAGGGGCGTGGTGGTGCAGCAGGTCTGTGAGGTGGGGGAAGGGGCGTGGTGGTGCAGCAGGTCTGTGAGGTAGGGGGAAGAGGTGGTGGTGGCAGCAGGTCTGTGAGGTGGGGGGGGGCGTGGTGGTGCAGCAGGTCTGTGAGGTGGGGGGCGTGGTGGTGCAGCAGGTCTGTGAGGTAGGGGGAAGGGGCGTGGGGTGCAGCAGGTCTGTGAGGTAGGGGAAGGGGTGGTGGTGCAGCAGGTCTGTGAGGTAGGGGGAAGGGCGTGGTGGTGCAGCAGGTCTGTGAGGTAGGGGGAAGGGCGTGGTGGTGCAGCAGGTCTGTGAGGTAGGGGGAAGGGGCGTGGTGGTGCAGCAGGTCTGTGAGGTAGGGGGAAAGGGTGTGGTGGTGCAGCAGGTCTGTGAGGTGGGGGAAGGGGTGTGGTGGTGCAGCAGGTCTGTGAGGTAGGGGGAAGGGGCGTGGTGGTGCAGCAGGTCTGTGAGGTAGGGGGAAGAGGCGTGGTGGTGCAGCAGGTCTGTGAGGTAGGGGGAAGGGGCGTGGTGGTGCAGCAGGTCTGTGAGGTGGGGGGAAGGGGCGTGGTGGTGCAGCAGGTCTGTGAGGTAGGGGGAAGGGGTGTGGTGGTGCAGCAGGTATGTGAGGTAGGGGGAAGAGGCGTGGTGGTGCAGCAGGTCTGTGAGGTAGGGGGGGGGGCCTAGTTGTTGAGGGCTTTGTGAGTAATCAGGAGGACTTTGAAGTTGATTCTTTGACGGACGGGGAGCCAGTGGAGGTTCTGGAGGACGGGAGTGATGTGGTCTCGGGAGCGGGTGTGGGTGAGGAGAAGGGCAGCAGAGTTCTGGATACGTTGGAGTTTATTGAGGAGGTTGGATGGTATGCCGTAGAGGATGCTATTGCAGTAGTGGAGTCGTGAAGTGATGAATGCATGAATCAGGGTTTCAGCAGCAGAGGAGGAGAGTG